CGGGCCCGGGCGGGGGGCGGGGCGGACTGGGGCGGGGCTCGCGAGCAGAGGAGGGGCGGGGCGGGGCTAAAGCGCCGCCGAGCTTGCCGGGATTTTAAGTACCGAGCTCGGTGCCGTGAGGGCTGGCGGGAAGGTAGCCGGACTCGGCTTCCCAACAGCCAACGGGGCATATGGGGGCGTGCGCGCAATGCACGGCGGGAGCTGTAGTCCGCGCACCGCCTCCGTCGCGCGAGGACATCAAGGGGTTAGAGGTGAGGTGGGCAGGTTTGCAGTAGCCCGCGATGAAGCCCCACAGTGCCCTGCGCGCGCGCGGAAAGGGCGGCGGAACAGGAAGTGGCGTAAGAGACGCTTCGCAGAACAGATGCGAGGGAATTGTAGTTCGGCCAAGTAAGCCGGACAGGCTGGATATTGCCACGCCCACATTCTGGGAATCCCAGACTCCCCAGGCCCTCTAAATTTAGAACCAAGGAGCCCGACCCAATCGTCCTCCTCATTCAGGACGGAGAACGAATTCCGAAACCGCTCACTTAGAACAGGGAGTCCAAACTCATTTCTCTCCTCCCTGGGGCTCAAGCCCAAGTCCTTCCTCAAGGACCCGAGAATAGGGCCATCACGCCCCTTCCTCCTTCCTCAAACTATTCCGTTTCACGCTCACACCTTACAAGAACAAAATAATTCGCGTCCCTACACCTCCCCGCCCTCCGACCCAGAATTCTGGGTCCCCAGTCTCTCCAACCCCTGGACTCAAGAGTCAGACCCCAGCTCTCTCCTTTACCGAACCCATTAAGGAACTCCAGCCTCCTCCTCCCCAGGACCCAATAGTCCAAGTCTCCAGTTCCATTCTCTCCTAGCGACCTAGGAGCCTGGGCCCAGTTTCCTTCTCCTTCAAGACCCAGAAATCCTGGCCCCAGGCCTTTCATGACCATGACGTCCCGACTTGGGCGATCTGGCTCATGGATTAGGAATGCGGTGATCTCACGGCCCCTCCCTGGCCCGTTACCCTGCTGTCCCCCTCTAGGGCCCCTTCTCCCCTCCCAGTCGGTCTTCCGCTTGGCTGGGATAGCGGGAACCGGAAGCCTGGGTCCCTGAGCAGGCGGAGACTTCAGCTTCCAAACCCAGACGCCGGGTTGGAGAGCTTGGCTAGGATCCCAGGGCGGAGGTGGAGCTTCTTCCCAAGACTTGCTCCTTCTCCGGAGCGCCCTATATACGGCCGCGCGCTAATCGGCGGGCCCCGCCTACCAGAATAAGGCCGCGGGGAGGGTGCCCCGAGCAGCACTGTCACAGGGGTCCTTATTTGCATAGCCCCTCCCCGAAGGACCTCCTAGCCCCTTGTGCTGAAAGAATGAGCTATCAGCTTAGCCCCGCCCACAGGCGGCCCGCCCGCTGAGAGCGCGTGGCGCCGCTCCGGGTGAGCACGGTTCATTAGCATAGCCCCTCCCCATTCGGAATTCCCCTTCGCCGGTGTCCCGTCCTTATTAGCATAGCTCCTCCTTTTCCCTGGCCCTGCCTCCTCCTTAAGTGTCCCGAGTCGCGAGCCTTCTAGCCGGAGCTTATGACTATGCAGTGGGCTCATTAGCGTAGCCCGCCCCTGGGTCTCGCCCGGCTCTCCCCCAGG